TTTAATTTCTAAGAATTACCGTTTTTAGAAATCTATAAGCATCTGAAAACAAAACATTTACACAAAAGATCTTAAAAAGAGTAGCATAAAAATGTTTATATGTAGTCTGAGTAGTTTCAGTTTTCTTTTTTCTTGTCTTTTGTATTTTCAAAGTTTTTGGAGTGAGGCGTGTGTTATTTCTTCACTTGATCTTAGCCAAAAGGCCGAAAAGTGATGCGTGTGTTATTTCTTAAATAGAAAAACAAATAGAAATTTTACCTTCAAATAGTTTATTACAAGGATTATAAACAAAGATGTAAACATTGGTAATTGAGCCAGGTATGTTGGTGTAATCTCAGCACTTTAGGAGGCTGGGGCAGGAAGATTGCCAGTTCAAGCCCAGCCTGGTCAATTTAGGGGGCGACCTTGTCACAAAGTAAAATATTAAAAAAGGGCTAGGGAAGTAGTAGCTCAATACAGGGGCCCTGGGTTCATTCCCCAGTACTGGGGGAAAAAAATTGGTGATAGGAGAAAGAACATAATCCCTTCTAAATTAGAATCACTTATGATAGGGCATTACTTTCATTTTGAAACATTTCAAATATAATCTTTAACATGTCATTTTAGGATCAAGCATTTGGAGAGCTAGAAAAGAATAGTGATAAATTTCTACTTGGAACATCATCATCAGAGAACAGTCAGCCTGCTCATCTCCATGAACTGCTGTGTTCACTACAGAAACAGCTGTTGGCATTTTGCCATATTAATAACATTAGTGAGGTATGTGATTCGTTGCTTTTTATGGTCATTCATCAGGGACCTTGAAACTCGGATATTTGGGTGTACCATAATATTTTGTACCTTTAATCTTTTTTTTTTTTTTTTGATACCGGGGGTCGAACTTGGAACCTTGCGCCTGCAAGGTAGGCGGTGGAACCATTGAGTTAATTAAGTAACTAAGGAACTTTAGTAATTAAGGAACTTCTTTCTCCTCAGAACTCAAGCAGTGTGGCATTGCTTCATAAACATCTTCAGCTCTTGTTGCCTCATGCCACAGATATTTATTCTCGTTCTGCAAATTTGCTCAAGGAAAGTCCTTGGAATGGCAGTGTTGGAGAAAAATTAAGAGGTTAGTTTGGTATTGGATTACCATATAATAAGTAGTTTAAAAGTAAGAATTGTTAACCTTTCCAAAGCCTTGAGGGCTGCAGCCTCTGAGTAGAAGAGGAATTGTCTTGAATCTCTTTTTTATTGAATATCCCTTTAATATTGGTTTGGGGTAATGCTAACACTAGAAGATTCTAACTGACACAAAAAGGCCTAATTTAAAGACATTGGGTGGTGTAAAATCCAAAAGATTAATTTCAAATGGTACAAAGTGATATATCTTTTACTGTTTATCTTTCTTTAGCATTTTCCAGTGTCCCTTTTTCCTTCTTGAAAGCTTTCTTCCATGGTCTTCTGTGTGGTCACAGTTCTGTTTTTTCTCATCTCTCTGACCACTGTTTTTCCATGAGCTCTGACAGGCCTCTCTTCCTTCCTTCAACATTGCCTTTAATGTGGGAATCCTCTGAATTGTTTTCACCCTTTTTTCCTTCCTGAATGTTTTTATCTAATCTCAGTCTTTAAGCACCCCGTGTGTTACTGATTTCGATGTGAGAATTCCTTTCTTAAGCACTAGAGCCTTTGTCTAGTTGCGTACTGGATATCTATTCTTGGTTGTCCCATTAACAATTAAAATTCACCATATCTGACTCAAACAGTCTCAACTCTGCAGTGTCCCAGCTGAGGAAAGAAAGAAACAAGCTGAGGAACTGAAACCATTTCTGATTAGACATCTCTATGTGGTTGTTCCACAAGCAACTAAAATTTAGCATCTTTACACTAAACTCATCTTCGAATGTTCTTTCTAGCTCTAAATATAATGAAATGTGTAAACAAATTTTATTTAAAATCTGTGCCTATGGTAAAAACACTTTAATGTAATTTAAATTTTAAAAATTAAATTGGGTTCAAAAAATTTTTAAAAAGCTTCCCTCACTACAATGTAACCACGAGGGCAGAAATTTTTGGCTGCTTTGGTCATAGCTGTATCACCTTCACCTAGAACAGTGCTTGGTCTTGAAGGTCCTCAATTTTCAAATGAAGATAATTAATGAGAAATTCATAATGTATTTTATTTTATTTTTAAAATTTTTTTGGTACCCGGGATCGAACTCGGGTCCTTGCGCTTGTGCAGCAGGCGGTGAAACCACTGAGCTAAATCCCCGGCCTTCAAAATGTATTTTAAAAGTTATAACCCATTGAACTGATTGGCGTGAAATATAGGTGTGCTTTCCTGCAAAATGTCTCTTGGTGGTACTTTCTGAAAGTGAGTAAATATTTGTATGGCACCAGGTAGCAGGGGAGTGTTCAAAAAGAGTTGTTAGCTTAGTCTACTCTGTTCCAAACTAAAGTAGTTTTTCTTCAGTTCTTTTTTAAACAGTTTGTTTGAAATAGTTGTTCACATTGCATTTCTTGCCCTTTCTAGATGTGATATATGTCTCAGCAGCAGGCAGTATGCTCTGCCAGATTGTTAACTCACTACTGTTACTCCCAGTGTCAGTGGCTCGTCCCCTGTTGAGTTACCTCCTCGATCTCTTGCCACCTCTTGATTGCCTTAATAGACTCCTGCCAGCTGCAGCTCTTTTAGAAGACCAAGAGTTACAGTGGCCTCTTCATGGTAAGTAAAGGTCAAAAAAGGGTAAATAATGCTTTTGAGAAGTTGTCCCTCTTGCATAAGCCCAAATCATATCTGACACTGGGTGTTTTGTGTAATCAAAAGATAAGATTATCTTTTGAGAGTTTATGGTCTAAAGTAGGCAAGTGACATGGGACTGTGAAGAAAGATGCTTGTATAGGGGACTCATAAAAAGTATCTTTATAGTTATCAGGTTAGGATTCTGTATTTCACTGTTTTTTTCTTTAAATTTTGACTTGGGTAAGATTGAGTTGCATCTTACAGTAGATGATAGGAAAGCATTGTGTCATAATTTAGTCAGCATCATTTTTCCTTAGAGGTACTTAAAATAATGATGCATTTAATCATAAATGTATTATTAGATTCAATTTAAAAGTTTTATTATTTTTTTTTTTTGGTACCGGGGATCGAATAAAAGTTTTATTTCTTAAAGAGTTTTATTTACAAAAAGACAGTATGACAGAAAGGACTACCATATTAGGGAAGGGAAAGGGGAGAGGAGTAGAGGAGGAAGAAAGGGCAGTAGGGAGGGTAGAAGAAAGCATGTTATACGCATGGAAATGTCACAATAAACCCATTATTTTATATAATAATGCTAATAATTACATGCTAATAATTATAATTCTAAAAGATTTTTAATTTTAAATCTGACAGTAAAATATTTGGTGTTTTGGTTAGATATGTAGGTAACTGGTCAAATGTAAAAGATGGATATTGAGAACCTTTCAGTTTTTAGGTGCTTTATACGAAATAGATATGGCAGTCTAATTCACCATTGATTTATAAAATGTTGGTGAATCTAGTTTAAAATATTGTGCCACAGAAGATACTGTGTTTGTCCATTGGAGCCTATTTATCTCATGACTATCAAAGGAACTTACTTCATCACTGAAATCTTAAAAATCTTTTAAGTTAGACCTCTTCTTTCATTAGAAAGAACCCTAGGGTGAAGTGTAAAAAGATCTAGTTTTCAGTCTTGGCTTTGCTAGTTACTTGTGGTATAATCTTGAGAAAGTCACATATCACTGCTTATAGCATTGCTTTCTTCTGGAAAACCTTGAAGTTGGACAGAATGACCTTGAGGGCCTGTCTGTAACTTGAGGGTGGTTCTGTGACCACTGGATATAGATAGATTCAAAGTGTCACGTTTACCAGCATAGTGATTAGGATTTATATGGAGGTGCTCTGAGTTAATTGTAACTTTTCTAAAACATCTTAAACCTCTAAGAGTCACTCTTATTGTGTCAAGTGATAGGTGTCATTTTACTTTGGATTTCTGTTACTTGTGTTTATAACTGATATTTTTATACTGTATTACTGTTTATTGCTATCTATCCTTGACTGATTTTTGCTACCAAAAATATACTCACCTTGAAGCATGAATTTGGAATCATCTATGTTTTTTTGTTCTTGTTGTCTGAAATAATTTGTGCAAGTTAGGGGTTGTCATTTCTTGACATTCTAGGGAAATTTATCTGTGAAACTTTCCAGTCTGGTAGATATTTTTATATTGTGGCAGTTATTTTACTTTAATGGTTAATTTTTTGTTTATTTTTAGATCCATTTTTACTTTTATTTAATTAATTTATTTATTTTTGGTACTGGAGATCGAACTCGGGACCTTGTGCTTGCGAGGCAGGTGCCGGAACCACTGAGCTAAATCCCAGGCCCCACTGTGACTATCATTTTTAAAAGTAGAGAACCTTTAAAAATAAATGGATAGTAAGAGAGCATGTGTCTAGACCTTAGTACTGTACAAGACAATTCTGATTTCAAGACCTAAAAGAATTAAGCAATACTGTCTCTTAATGGATAAACTCTTGTGTTGATTTTGGAGGAATGAGCTCGGAGATTCACTAAAGAGCATAAAATTTGATCTGGAGAATAGGAAAATAGTCATTTGGGAAAATTTTGTCATACATTAACTGTGGCTAGTGAAAAATTTTTCCCATGTCCCATTTGATGCAGAGTCTCATTTACTGATAATTGAGAGACATTAAACCTGGTTGCAAGTGTTAAAATTGTTGCTGTGCTTTGTAGTTGTCCTATAAAATTTTGAGGCTTTACCCAGTCATCTCCCTGTAAAGGTGATACCTACCATGGTAGCTCAGGTGCACTAGAAGTGGGCAATTGTCCACAAATCCAACGTGCATCTTTCTTAATGCTTTTGACATGCTGCTGAGCCCAGTCAAGGAAAACATTAGTTCCCCCATTGGGAAATGGTATAAGGGTTAGGAAAAAACCGAATAGTCTTTGATTTTAACAGACATAGTGTGGCTGTGAGAATATATTTAGGCAATATGCACTTATCTAATTTATCCTGAATCAGCCTCCATATTCTTCCTGAAGAGTATTTCAATGTTTATCTTAAAATTAGTAATTTTATGAAGGAAATTTTTATTTAATAGTACTTCTCTGTTTTCAATTAGCTTGATATACCAGAGAATATATAAAGTATTGTATGTTTTCATTGTAAAATTAGTTTATTTCAATATTTTATTGCAATGCAATAGATTAGAGCGATGAGAAAACTTTGGCTCTTAAAAGCACCAGATAAAGACATGATCACTAATGATTTTGTCTTTTTTTTTTTTTTTTTTTTTAAATTCTTTTATTGGTACATTTTAGGTATACAA